GATATACACAAGGTTATTCTGACGGCCTCTACAAAGTTACATCTTCTAGGCTTCAGTGTCTTTCTGTTCCAACATGAAGTAAACTGCCCGGTTTTACTAAAGTGTGTACCGTGACCGTTGAGTTGCAGTGTGCAGAGCAGCCTTTCACTGGGACTTTAACGGATGGGTTGCCCTTGGTGAAAATATAAGAACATCCAAATGTGGAAGAGCCCTGGATAAAGACAGCATAATCATATTTTAAAGCAGCTCAAAGTAAGAAAGGGAAGTGAATAAATATCCAGATGCTTCACAGTGAGTTCAGTCTTACTGTAAAAACTCCAGAAGAGCATTGGGTCATTATTAGCTTTGAACACGCGACACATTCACCCTGAAAAACACATGAGTTGATCAAATATCTCAAACACACTCAAAGGGCTTCAGTGTTTTAGGGCGGACTCAAAGATGAAGGGGCAGAAATCTCTCAGTGTCCTCGTGTTTCTGTTTCTGGGATAAAGTCACCTCACTGATCAAATACATTTACTCATCCAATGGAGGCAGACTCCAACAGTGTAGCATGGTGTGATGATCCAACTATGAGAGCTCCATGAGCTCAGTGCTTTTTGTTTTCACACTGAGCCTCATACGCTGCACATATACATTTAGGGTCAATCGATCATGTTATTAGACGTTAAACTCACCATGATGATTTTAGTCTCTGTGATGTCACATCTACTGGGCAACACAGGTTCGATGGAGGGCGGAGTCAAAACTCCATCCATCACATAAAGACGTCCATTTTTTGCCTCCACAGCCGCCTCCAACACTGCTGCACCATTAACCAAGATCTGGCCCTGAAACAGTGAAACGACGACCGGACAGAAATCCTGAGCTCATGTTGAAAGTGTGGAAAACAGTCTTACTAAAATGCGGATAATAGGAGTGAATTTAACTTTTCTTTAGATGATGAAGGTTTGACACAGAAACCAGGAGCTGATGTTCAGTCAGCTTTAAGTCACACGGCTGTATTCCTTACAGGATCCATGGTGAATATTTACTGATTACACTCATTTCTCCTGAAAATGATTACAGAAATAAAAACGCTGCACTTTTAGGGATTTTTGTTATCTGGATTGTATTTTAAACTCTATTAATAATATTAATAAACTCTATTAATGTCAACATTTCAAATGTTCAAGTTAAAAGTGAAAGAAATTTCAGCAAAAGATCTGCAAGCTTATTAAAGAGACTAAATCTGCATGAACAGCACTAACACACACACACAGAAAGGATATTGGAACAATAATGTCACTATTATTGCATACTTAGAACCAAACACGTTCCACCCTCCTTTGTTATTTTATAAGATTCATGATATTATTTAAGTATTCAACAGTGACTGTGACAGAGATTTGGGGTGATGTTGGGGGTTACAGATGGTGGAAATCCACACTTACATTTTCCATCACGGTGATTGTCAGAACCTGATTGGCCATTGTCACGTATCTTGGGGTTGACACAGCATTGTAGATCTCCAGCTGCATAACAGGGAGATTAAAAAAAACTGTCAGAGGGAACAAATGTGAATTATTAACGAGTCAGCGGACTGTCGCTCTCACCGAGGTGGCCGGGATAATGTGGTTCCTGAGAAACTCCAGCAGTTTGCTGTGACCCTGAGGATTCAGAACCAATCGTCTGGTGAATTATTCATGGAGGAAATGATCACTCACTGACAGACTACAAATTTGTCCGTTTTTGTGTCCATCCTTACGTCAGGGCTCATGAGATACTTCAGGTGTTCTTCAATCATTGCATCAAATGCTGCAGTGGTGGGTGCAAGCACAGTGATTGGTCCCGGCTGGTCCAGCAAAGATGCCAGAGGAGTTTTCTGCAGTGAGCACAAATTGTCCAATTTGATCAATTTACAATTCAGAAACTTAAGAACCAGGTCCTCATGCACCTGAATGTGTTACTAAGATAAATGCTCATGCACCGTGTTTGAGGTGGGATTCAGGCGACTCTCGGTCCTGACTCTGCTAATTTATTTACACATTTCTTCCTGCAGTATGAACATCGGGGACATCTAATCCTGCAGGACCACAAATCAGTGCAATATTTCCTATTTAATCTGTGTTCAGAACCTAAAACTGATCATAGAAATATCACACTCCAAACATCTTCTGTGTCAGTGTTGACACAAAGCCCTGATCCAGTGTAATAATGTAATGATCCCATCATCTGGTGGGCAGGAATGTGACTGGGACATTGGGACATGCAATAAAATGTCTTCCAGCGTTCAGCTTGTTATTGACTCAATACAGGAAGTTACAGGATGTGATTAACTTCTAAACTGAGAATAAAAAAGTTGGCGTCTGCATGTATTCATGTCCTGATGTTCCTGGTATTGAAGAAAAGAAGTCTATACCTGTAATAAACTGGTGAAAGTCTGAAACTTGCCGTAGTCAGAAACGATCTTCATCAGGTTCTCCTGTGGAACAACAAAGTGTTCATGTAATGAGATGAATGGAGACATAATGAACAGGTTTATCTTTGCTGAGCACATTTACACCCAAACTAAAATCTCTTGCCACCTCAGTGTTGCTTTCTACGATGGGAGGCACGCTTTCCATCAGCCTATTGATGATATGGATGATCCCATTAGATGCAACAACATTAGACTGGATGATTACACCTTTCTTCCTGCCGCCATGGATACGGATTTTGGTTTGAGCATCCTGGAATGAAACAAGAGGAAGATCTGACAATACAAAATTCTATCAAAGCTATTGGAGGCTTACCACTGTGTGAAGTGTGAAGACCGTAACAGTTTCACATGTTGCAGGTGAGCATCAAAAGTCTCTGAAGTACTTAAGACTGGACTTGGTGTCCACTGTGTGCATCACTTATTTGATTATAAATCTTAATTCATTCTTACAATAAACAATAAACAGATGCAAGCCAAGTCTGTGAATGCTCTATTTATTGTCATCTTTATTGTGTTTCCAAGGGTTTAAAAACAGGTTTCAGTCAAGTTATTTATTTAATTGTTTAGGGAAAGGGTCTGAGTTTGGGTCTCGGTCAGGTTCTAGTTCGGGTTCTGGGTTAGCATCTTGCTTTGGGCTGGTTTGTTTCTTATGTGAAAAAACAAGTCATCACTCACTTTCCTCAAATTGTTTCAAATCTTTTTTATATTTCCTAATTTTTTTTGCTTCGTGCCCTGACATGTTTACACTTCATGTTGTATCAATCTGCTGGTGATGAAGCCTCTCACCCCCTCTGATGTGTCCGTCTCTGCTGATTTTCCCGTCAGTGTGTAGAAGACATCAGTTTTCTTCAGTGTGTCAAACTGCATCATCCCAGCGACCAGATGCATCTTACACAGGTATGTAGCTTTGGACCTGTTTGCTATCAGAGTCCTCACCTAGTAAGAGGAGTAAAGGCAGATGTTTGAATCCTGACTGAACCCGTTTTGATTGAATTGTGTTTTTTCCTCTGGAGCTCAAAGTACGATGAGCTCCCAAAACAAAGCCAGGGTGTGAAAGAAATATAAAAGTGGCTCTAAAGTTAAAAGGAAGCTAAAACTAGCTGCTGATAAAAGTGGATCAGTTTATTTGAAGGGATTCGTACCGGCGTTCCCTTGAAGCCTTTATTTATCGGGATGAAAACGGTGAACGGACCCAAATTCTGCAGCGGCCATGACAAAGATCCTGCAAGACACACACAAACACAATCATTAACATTAGTTCTTTTCATGTGAGACGACTTCATTGACCATCTGTAAAATGTCTCGCTACACAGATCGCATCTGAATAGCTCCAAAAAATAAGGTGTGCATCAGCTGAGGACTTGTCATTGCCAATAAAGCGGAGCAGTAATTGAGCATCGCTCCTATGTTTTACCATGGGATACGTCGGTTATGTCGTGTGTTCTGGAGAATAAACAGAGCAGGATCGAACAGGAAGGCTACTTTAGGGGCGACCATGCAGAACCCAGATTAAACATTTTAAAACTCACTTATAAAAAAAGTCCTGGATGTGGTAAATAAAAGTGCTTAAAGGAGAAACTTGAAATAATTTTTCTGTATCAGTTTAATTTTTATGAATGCTATTTTATTTACTGAGTTTTATTTAATATAGGGAAAAGCTTACATGTGTCCCTGCACAGAGAGCTAAAGCCGATGAAGTGAAAGTTTTCTGCTTTTTATGGACCAAACCACCTCAAACTGAATCCACATACCAAACAGAGTGATGGCATTGCTCAGCTGACCCGTCCACTGGCCTCCTGGTTCTGTGTTCAGGTCATTCAGACGCTCCATGATGTTCCCAATGCAGACTTTACCATTACCAATGTAGCCCTGGAGACAGGCGCACCTGAGGGACAGAGCAGCAAGTGACGGCTCAGTTCTGCGGCTCTGCTACTTGCTACCTGCAGATTCAGGTATTGGTCCATGCAGACATTCAGTAAAGTAAAGTGACTGACTCAACTTGTCCAGGTCCCACGGTGCTGCAGTTGGCGTTCCGGTGGCAGGAATCAGGTGTGCAGGAGTTCTTTAGGCTGCAGCCACCGCCCGACAGAGTGTCAAACCCAGAGAGGCACTCACAGTGGGACTGAACAGAGCACAGAGCACAGCACAGCGGATTCAGAGGTCACTGACAAGGTCACCTGACAGCAAGCCGCTGCCCCCTGCGGGCCACAGCTCGTTACACACATGATGTGAAAGGTCAGCCAAAATGTTTTACCCTGCCCGGTCCATTGTACACACAGCGGGCAGACTCAGCAGAGCAGCCGCCACGATCGGTCTGACACGGGTCAATGGCCATGCAGACCCGCCCGTCCCCGCTGTAGCCCTCATTGCAGGTACACAGGTGCTGGTTTGGTCCGGTGTGGACACAGGAGGCCTGAGCGTGACACACCCGCTGCAGACACGGATTTATGGCTGAGAAAGACAAAGTGACAAAGTGAGAAAGACAAAGCTGGAGCACACAGAGACTCAAAGACTGTGACATTTACACTGACCACAGGCGGGAGAGAGAACTAGAGGTGAGAGAGAGAGAGAGAGAGAAAGTGAGAACTTGGGGTGAGAAAGAGAGAGAGAGAGCACCATGGGGGTACATATAAGCTCACATAAACACTCGGATCCTGCTCTCTGGTAGCCGGGTAGACACTGGCACACTAACCGCCCCGTCAGAGCTTCTTCAATACAGCGAGAGTTCTGCTGGCAGCTGAGAGCTGCACACTCTGGTAACTCTGAAACACAATACAGGTGTTAGCACAGGTGACAGGGTGCAAGCAAATGCAGAAACTGTATAGGTAACAGGAAATAGAAAAAGATAAGCTGACATGTTACCAAATCAGGAGAAGGACCAGACAACACAGCAGGACACCTGCTGCAGGTGGAGTTACCTGTAACTGTAAAGGTACCAGCAGGAGGACTGACCTTGGTCACAGTTGGGACCCGTGTATCCAGAGAAACAGGTGCATCGGCCGTCGCCCACTATTCCGGAAGCACAGAGGCCGTGGACACAGGAGCAGACTGCAAACAGTGTAAAGAGAATTACGTTGGGTCAGAGGTTCCTGAGAACTCAGTGCATCTGTCACAGCTGGAGATGACGTTACCTGAGCTGCAGGTGGGGCTGTACCGTCCAGGTGTACAGTCCTCACAGGCAGTTCCTGCAAAGCCCTCCTGGACACACACACACACACGCACAATTAAAAACAATGATAAACAGGATGTGACATCATGGGTAAACTTTGAGAGAGCCGTGGCTCTGGCCTGAAGAGAGACAGATTTGTAATGTAAACAGTTTACTGCTGGGTCCTGTTACAGGAACCTGTATACCGGTGTATTTTTCAAAGGTGGAGGGGTTCTGCTTTTACGGTCATTAATTATTTAAACCTTTCAGCCAACCACCGATGCAACACACACATTTATGGGGTTTGATTATTCACAGGGTTCTTGGGTTCCTGTAACAGTCTGAGATCTAAGGTTCTAAAGGGCTCTAGAATCTAGAAACTCTGAGGTCATTTACTGTTGGTTCTGTGGACAGTGAGTGTTGTTCAAGGTTCTAATATTATGCCTTCTTGATGACAATAAACCCAGATATATGATTACATCCTAAATATACATTTATATGGACACAAACACACGTGAAGACTGCAGATTACAGTGATTGTGTCAGTCTGCTTTCACGTTATTGTGGTTTGTTTTATTTTTTGGTTTGTCTGTGTTCCGATCAGCTTTGCTTTCTCACTCTCACTCCAATTTACCTGCACATCAGCTGATTTTTGTCACCAGGTGATGTGAGATGCAGGTGTGTGAGGTGACACTGTCTTTCATTGTTCTTGTAACAGCGAAAATAAAGATCTATTCTATGAGAGCAGGTGTGTGAGAGCAGGTGTGTGATGTACAGTTAGAGCAGGTGTGTAAGGTGAGAACAGGTGTGTGAGGTCACCTGGCAGCTGCAGGTCCCATTCCCTCCCAGTCCAGCGGAGCAGACGCCTCTGCCGCTGCAGGGTCTGGCGGCCTGGTCAGGACACTCTGAAAGAGAACGGGCACATGGTGTGAACAGGAAGCTGA